AGTTCCCTGTCTCTCTTGAGCTGAGGGGCCCAGAACTGGACACAATATTTCAGATGTGGCCTGACCAGGGCAGAGTAAAGGGGGAGAAGGACCTCTCTCGACCTACTAGCTACTCTTCTCCTGAACGCAGACTGCAGAATCTAGAAAGGATATTCTAAGCATCAAAAAAAAATTCAAAACTGTTTTGAGTAGTCTCCCTAAATAATTAGAAGTGACAACTGAAACTTTTAATTTTAGGTCTCCTAAAGATAACAAATAGTCATTGTGCTTGGAATAGGAAACTGAAGGCACCATGCGTGTTATCACAGTGCAAGTGACAGGGAAAAGAAAACATACTGGCTGAGAGTTTGCCATTAGACCTGCATAAAGGATGTAAAAAGTGCAGATGGGAAGAGTCATTTTAGTTTGAATTCACATCGTCTTTTTGGGGGGAACAAAAGTTTTGTTGGTAAGTACAGAATGCTGGCATACAAGGATCTGAGAGAAAGTGAAAGTTTGTCTTGCCAGGTATGTCATCCAGTTCAGGTATACTTTTTAACTATTAAGGTAATTTACTGTCTTGAATGCTGGAAATGCATGGACTGTATTACATGACAATAACTTTCCTTTTTTAAATAACCTTTTGTGTGTTCTCATAGCCACATATTTTTGTCTCAGTATGTGACTTAGTCCCACTACTTGCAATGGTTTGGAGAGAGTCTACTTTTAGTTTGATTTGCTTCTTGTGAAATATAATGCCAGGAACATTTCTGCTTGCCTTCAGAATGACTGTAGCCAGAAGTCAAATCAGGTAAGAGAAAGAAAAACAGTATTGAAACTATATTGTGATACCATTTAGTTCATTCCCTCCTCCTCCAAAGCAGGATCAATGGTATTTTAAACTATTCCTGACAGAGTGGAATTTATCTTTCGCAGTGGTTCTTTCAACACCAGACAAAAGGATTCTGGTTTTGCCTATAGTAATGCAATATCCCTTCTGCTTTGCCAAGCCACACAGTAGCAGAATTTTGACTTTATCTTCCTTGAAAAATAGAGTTGTCAGCAGAGGATGATTGCTTATGATGGGTTGTACAGGTAGGAACATCAGATAGCTTCCAGGCGAGCATACTGCTTGAACTATATGAACATCAATAAGACACATCAAAAATGAAAAGTATGTCTGGAAGTTTCCTTAAGTGCTGGACAGAGAGAGCCTGACAAAACCGTCCCACCATCAGGAAAGCAAGTTGCTCCTTTGTACTGCAGGCTGCCAGAAGCTGTTTCTGGGTTAATGAGTAAGATTTAAGACTTAATCAGATCTTTCTTTAGTCTCAAAGGAAACAGCATCCTATCCCTTTACATAATGATGATTTGTGGGTTTGTGCTCTAACAAGACCACTCAGTGATGGATGCCAATACACTGATTTTATGTAGCCAAGAGGACAGCCATGCAAAGACATCAAGCTGCCTACAAATGCTGACTGTATCTTTGAGTATATTCTTCGGCAGATATTTTTTTTTCCACTATTTTGCCCAGGGATACCTGAAGACCTCTAGGGAATGTAGTGTGTATTTCTATATACAGCTGTACTACTACTTCATCGTTTATCTGTGATTTAGAGATGCATTCACCCCAACCCTTTAAAATTGTACTAAGTAGCCACAGGTACAACTAGATCTCTTTTAAAACCCAACTCCAATGTTGCAGATTTTTGCTGGGTAGTAGTGCTAGGCACTATTCTACTTTGATGCTCATGTAACCCTTTTATTTTATTTTGGGATTGAGTTCCTGCCAAGTGCCATAATTTCTGAAGCAGAAGAAAAGATGTCTTCAGGTTAAAATGTCACTGTGCCTATCAATCACACTTCAATGAATAGCTGTAGTTCACAAGTCATTCAGCAGTGCAATGAATAATTCCAGTCTAGAACTTTTCTGCAAGTTCCTTATATTATTATGTCTGAGACTAACCAAGACTGCAGGTGTGAATTTCTACTCTTTTTAAAAGGCTGTATTTCACAAACACACAGAAATGAAATTCAGGAATAGAAGAACTGGATAATAAAATGATGGATCTGGTGTCAGAGTCACAGCATACAATCAGCTTCTAGTAATAATGCTGGGAGCTTTTTGTTAGCAGCCAGTGTTCTTGTGTAGTGTGATACAGCAGCGTATTTGGGCTGCCAGTAAAGTGTGTAGCATACAAAACTGAGGAGCACTTCTTAATAGCTGGCAGTACCCATGGGTATGAAAAAAGTACTACTTTGTTTTGTACGTGCTCAGGAAATTATCTCCTGAAGGATGGAAAGCAATTGAGTTTATTGGATACAGAGCATACGAGATGTGGAGCACAGTAGTGCTCTGGTCCATGACTTGGACGATGCTTCAGCATTGTCTTCAGTACCGCTTTCAGCTCTGTCTTCAGAGAGGTTACCTTTCTTTCTCATTATGCTCTTACATCCTGTATAATGTATCTTATATCTCAAATTTTGATGTGTATGTTTGAATTAAACATATGTTAACACATGAAAAGACAAAAGTAAACCCAGGCCAAGTAAATAGGCTTTTTTCTTGTAGCTTCTATGGATTTTTTTTTTTTATGATATTCATGCCCACCAGTTCTAACCATTAAACACAAAAGATGCTTATACAGTAAGGCAGAAGCACAGTTCCCCTTTGCATGCGTATATTGCTAGTGTTTTAAAAGATTTTTCTGTTTGCATTTCTTGATGATATATAAAGACTATAACCAAGTATTCTTACCATATTCAGTTCCTATTTAAGGTTAACATTTAGCCCTCTGACAAAAAATACACTTCATAAACATGTTCATTATCTTCATTTGCCTACACCAATCAAGATTAATTGCTCAGTTAAATTGCTTGATTATCTCAATTTGGAGACATTCAGCTGTTTCTATCATTTATCGTCACACCAATACTCAACTTTCTCTAACAATAAATGGCTGCTCTTCCATGCCTCTTGGCTAATTGTTCAATTACAAGGGTGTGAGCAGTTCTGGCATTTGAAAGACATGTGAAAGGCCACTTGCGAACAGCCCAGGAACACAGAATCAATGACATTTATATATAATACGTTATTTATATGTTTTGCAATAGCAAGTGTAGTAACATATCAGTAGGTACAAGAAAAGCTTTTTAAAATAACATACGCATTTTTTTTTTTTGTCTCTCAGTGACTTCAGTTCAAACTTTCCCAGTCTTCTGGTCCAACTAGACCATTTTTTTAACTGTCTCACTAAACTCATCCTGCAGGAATATCTACTCCGCCATCAGTGCGTCTGAAGGCAATAGCTTCTCTGCCAATTCTGCAGTGGAGAGAATGGGGGACTTGGGGCTGAGCAGGTTTAATGTCAAAATTCATAAAGAAAACGACAGGCTCTAGGACTTGCCTCAGGACCGTATGCTTTATTCTATGGAGAAAGAGATCTCCATTGTCCTGACCCATCCGAGCAGACTGTGAAACAGGAGAGTGTAGAGAACTGCTGTCTTTCAATTTGTCTTCTATTTTCCTCAACTCTGCCTTTCTTGCATGTTTGTTGTTTTTAACTTCACTGTCTCATCTTGTTTTCATTTGTGCTCTCTTTAACCTTTTCCTCCCAACTCCTGTCCTCTAATCCCATTTGATGTCCCTTTCCCTTCTTGATTTTTCTTTATTCTTGACTCTTCTCCTCCTTCCACCTCTGTTTTTCTAGCTCTTCCCTCTTGCTCTCTTCTGGCTTTTTTCCTTACCCTCTTATCTTCCTTCCCTACTTCTCCTCTCTGAGGACTTTCTGCCTTTGGCTTTTTCCTGTAGATTGGGCTCAATGGTACCCTTCATGAATGCTGATTATCCTGGTCAGAGCTCTATGAGTATTACACCAGCTGAATGGCTCTTCATTTGAATTGTGCCTTGCAGCCATTTAGTAGGAAAGGAGTGTCACATCCAACTTTGACTGACAGCTGATTGGCAGGGAAGAAAAGCAGCCACCATCTCTCATGGGAATGCTCAGAAGCTTGCAGAGGGAGATAAAATGTCAAACCGCTGCGATCTGCAGCCTTTGCTAAGAGGCTTGAGAGATCAAACTAGATCAGACACAATCCTATTTTAGTTTGGAAAACTAAGCTGTATTGTTTCTGCTTTGAATGTCATCATTAATAGTGTAATTTCTGCATTCTGAGAGAGAAACTCGTACAGACTGTGGCACCTTGGGCAATGTAGACTCTCTCTAGACTTACCACAGGTGCATTAGCTGTACAATTAACATAAAGGTTGTTACCTACATGGGGGTCTTCTGCTTAGGGAAGATGGATATTCTCGGAGTTAAGCTGTGATTTTATTTTTTTTATTGCTATTTTTTACAGACTATTTTCTAACTGTCAGAATGCTTTGAGCTTAGAAATTTTCAGCTGCCTGTTGCTTTTTAATGTATAAGCACAGCATGCTTAAACTCTTCGTAATAGTGTGGCTTGTGGTATTAAGGTCATGTCGCAGAGTCCTTGGAGGCACCACAAAACCTCATCAGAAAGTGGCTGCAGTGTTACTGTGTGCAGAGGGGGATAAAAAGGGATATGGTTGCTTTTTGCTGGGCACAGAGAATCTTCACCAAAATATGGGTACCGTGAATCCTACATATCTTGAAACAAAACCTCTCCTGGTTTATGTAGTTTGACTCTAGCCAAATTAATGAGCATGAGGGAAAACTCGTATTACATTTTAAAGCTAAAAGTCTGGTCTAGATAACCCTATAAACCAAGCTACGTTGTTTCCAGACAAAGATAAAAAGGAAAATCCTTAATGTAATTGTGCATGATTGGCCATGGGACTTACTGGTTAAATGAGGAACTTCCTGTTGTTGACCATGATTTCAAGCTGAAGTGTATTAATTTTACTCCTCAGCAGAAGCTGGGCAGACAGGAAGGCAAACTAAAAGTTGTAGCAGGCACCGTTCTTGCCTACTTGCTATCGCTGGCTTCCAGTGCTTCTGAAAATCAAAACATAGTTGCATATAAAAGAATCTTACCTTGCCAACATACTGGTAGTCAGTTCCTGTGTATTCCTCCAACAAAAAGAACTGATTCCACATCCAGCTCCTTTTGGAACGATGGAGATCTTGCCTGCTGTTTCCAGACAATACCAAAACCTTCTCCTTTTCTGGAAAGCCACTAGTCCTTCTGGATAATGGAGTTAAGAAACTTTGGTGGGGCTGACCAGCCCAAAGCAGCAGCCAGAAGCAATGATAAGTTCTCATCACGGCAACACAAGAAGGTCTAAATAATGACTTTTTGTCTTGTCCTCAGACTAACCTACTTTACTGCACTGAATCCAATCTCATGCTGTCTTCCTTCCTTAAATAGTTTTTGCAGTTTCAAAGGATCTCTGAAAAGAAAAATAACAACTTTTTGAGCATTTTTCAAAGGTACTTAGCATTCATCACTAGACCAAATAAGTGCAAAAAGTAGAAGAGTAACAGTGATTGTTGAAAAGCTGGGTTGTTTCTGGTTCAAAACGTTACAAGTGGTCCTTCAAATAATCTCAGTGAATCTGTATCAAGTAGGAGGAAGGAGTCCTGATGTTTGGGTTCCTGGGTGGCTTTTTTCCCCCCCCCTTTAAATCCACTTACCTTCATTCATTGACTGAGGCATACGAAGCATTTCTCTTTTTACTGCCTGAACTTTGGGATGCAGCTACTTAGCATCTGACTGAGGATCGTGATGAGGTTACCTTATTAAACTGAAGAAGGTCTAGCAAGAGTGCACACTGTCTCCCCATTCCATTGCTACAGTTATGGACTGAAAAGCCTTTTCTTAAATCTAACTCCGGGATTTTTTCCCCCTCACGTTTAAGGAGTTTTGCATTTGACTTCATTTAGGAAGGGTCAGGTGAAATGTATTTGTCAGTATCTTCCACGTACTAGACCTGTCTGATGCTGCACAGGAAGTAGACAGTTTGGTTTTCTCAGTTACCTACCGCCAGAGTTTGTCCTGAGTTTTGGTTCTTTAAATATATAGTTATATATACATAAACGCTCTCATTAATAAGTTCTAAAAATAAGAAAAAAATCAACTACTTCATTGCTACTTATGGGCTCTTATTAGCTATTTCTTCCTACTATTAATACTAGATATCTGTGCACTTACAAAATAATTATGAAAATGATCTCTATCTCTGAAGATTGCATCATTTTCATCAGGAAAAAAAGCTATACATACAGTACCACAGCACAGTGTGGACAGTTTTGCTTTCTAAAAAAGCTGAAAGCTTCTATTCAGGAAGAAGAAGTGATACAATGTGTCTCAGGTAACCAATCATGCAAAATGCCTAATGAACAGCTTTGGAACATCTTCTAATGCGAGGAAATCAGAATTAGTTGACAAAAACATTTCACAACGTATGTTTTTCATAAATTAGTCCACGAAGATTCATAGTCATTTGATTTTACACAGAGGTTCTTTGGAAAAGTTGTTGGGTGTGGTTTGTTTTTTTTTGGTTTGATGGTTTGTTTGGTTTTTTTAGTATTCTGATCAAAACCCAATAAATCATTCTAGCCAGCTCAAAATTCAACACAGCATCTTGTAAATAAAAATTGTGAAATGACAGTCCGACTATACTAAATTGAAGAGATTTTTTTTTTATTTTATTTTATTTGGTAATCATTTCACACAATGCTACTTGGACCATATTCTATACCAAGGGCCATTTTTTCCTCTATTATGTGTGTTTGCTTTTTTTTAAAGGTGTAAAGCAAGCAGAATTTAGTCTCTGAGCTACGCTGATGGAGTTAAAGCATTTACAGTACCTCAGGTTGGCCACTCTTCTGGTTGGTGTTGTTCTTAGTAATAAATTGTATAAAGTAACCTCATGTCTCTTACAGCTCCTTTTAGTAAATCATTTTCTATAAAGAAATACCACTTAGCTTTTAGATGGATAGTAGGTAATGGAACAGGGCTGTTAAAAAATTTTTTACTGCTTCACAAGGTAAAACACTGTAAAAATGTAACTTCTGGGTGAGAAGGGGTTGGGGTTTTTTAGCATTAAGAGGAAGAACGGAAAAGGCACAATTAATTCCAAAGCAGCATAGTTTCCTCCAGAGAAGAGAGAATGTTTCTAGTTATCTGTCTTCAATGCCAGTTGACTTTCTGTCGGTAAAAACAACTTTCTTGCGGGTCATGGGAGCTTTGTCCACCTGAGGCTTTGAGTGTTGTGAGATACACCCACAGAGGCGTACACACGTGTACGTGTAAACATGCTTGCACACACAGATGTAACAGGAAGAACAGACCCACTGCCCACCATGAGAAGACCTCCACGGAGGAGAAATAGAATAGAATCATAGAATAGTTTCAGCTGGAAGAGACCGTGAAGATCGAGTCCAGCGTTTGTCCCAGCTTTATCAACCTACTAAACTATGTCCCCCGATGCAACATCTAGTCGTCTCTTAAACACTTCCAGGGATGGTGACTCAACCACCTCCCTGGGCAGCCTGTTCCAATGGTTGACAACCCTCTCAGTAAAGAAATTCTTCCTAATATCTAACCTGAACCACCTCTGGCACAATTTAAATCCATTTTCCCTCATCCTATCACTCTCCAGTAGGGAGAATAGACCAACCCCTGCCTCTCTACAACCTCCTTTCAGGCAGTTGTAGAGCAATGAGGTCTCCCCTCGATCTCCTCCACGCTAAACAGCCCCAGATCCCTCAGCCTTTCCTCATGTGACATGTTCTCCCAGCCCTTCCCCAGCCGCCTCTGTACCCTCTCCAGCACCTCAGTGTCCCTCTTGCAGTGATGGG